CCCTACAGCCTCCCCCCACTCCCCTTCTGTCTGCCCCACCCCATTGTCCCCCACTGTCCCCTCCTCTACAGTGTCACCACATGTCATCTCTCCCCAACACCTCCAACCTGCTGCTGGAGTCCTGGGCCTCTGCTGGGGCCAGACCGAGACCCACCAAACTCACTTCACTTGCGGCATAACCCGGGATCAACTTCCAAGTCCTTCGAAGGGACTTAACTAACACCCACCCCAGCTCCCGCCAGGAGAGCCTCCCTGCACTCACTGTTGCTCTGAGCGGCCATCCTGAGGGTCAGGTTCTCCTGCTTCAGCTTCTGGTTGCTCTGCCGCAGGAAGCGGATGTAGTCGATCGTCTTCCGCAGAATGGCCGACTTGTTCAGCTGCCCGAGAGGGACGAGGCCTTTCAGGCACAGCCTACCCCTCCCTCCCCCCCCAGTCAGCCCTCCTCTGGACGCAGCCAACCCCGGAGAGAAGGTCTAGATCAGCCCCTGGCAACGGCAACTGGGTGCCATCCTGGGGGGGAGCAAATGCCCCTTGAGAGCAACAGGGTGGCAGAGCAAAACCCACCAGGCCATGCCAGTGTCATGGGAATGCAGCATGGCTGCCGGAGCTGGGCAGGGCAGGGCCTACAGTCCCTCAGCCCCCTCCCCAGCGCCCGCCCGCCCAGCTCTGCCACTGCCCCTCACTCCTGGCCTGCAGTGCGGCCCAGCACCCGCAGGGCGGGGGAACCTGAGCGCTTGCCTCTGGGACAGACACCCCCACCCTGCTGCGACAGGACCCATGAGCCCCCCGTTTCCAGGCCCCCGGGTACCTTGGCCTCCGAGCCCACCACCAGGTCCTTGAGCTCCATGATCCTGTCGTTGATGGAGGAGCGGTAGCGCTTCTCGATGGCGTTGTGCGCCGTCCGCTTCTCGCCCTTGTTCTGCACCACGGCCGGCTTCCCGCTGGCCGCCCGCCGGTTAATGGGCAGCTTGTCGGTATCCACCATCAGCGGCACGGTGGCCAGGATGGTGCCGCCGCTCACCAGGGCCTGCAAGAGAGCCGGGCGTTGGGACTGGCCCGCGCCAGCAGCCTGCCCCACCTCCCAGTGGCCAGGCGCCTCCCTGCCCCCCCCCAGGCAGCTCCGCCCAGTTCTGTCAGCACCCCGCACTCCTGACGCATCGCGGCCATCCCGCCCTGGGCTCCAGCCCCACACCAGCTCTGCGGCTGCCCCGTCCCAAAAGGCAGCCCCTGCCAATGACCCCCGCTCTGCTGCTCCCTATCCAGCACTGCCCTCCCGCTCTGCTACCCCCTATCCCAGCCCCTGCCAATCCAGCACTGCCCCCCCGCTCTGCTACCCCCTATCCCAGCCCCTGCCAATCCAGCACTGCCCCCCCGCTCTGCTACCCCCTATCCCAGCCCCTGCCAATCCAGCACTGCCCCCCCGCTCTGCTACCCCCTATCCCAGCCCCTGCCAATCCAGCACTGCCCCCCCGCTCTGCTACCCCCTATCCCAGCCCCTGCCAATCCAGCACTGCCCCCCCGCTCTGCTACCCCCTATCCCAGCCCCTGCCAATCCAGCACTGCCCCCCCGCTCTGCTACCCCCTATCCCAGCCCCTGCCAATCCAGCACTGCCCCCCCGCTCTGCTACCCCCTATCCCAGCCCCTGCCAATCCAGCACTGCCCCCCCGCTCTGCTACCCCCTATCCCAGCCCCTGCCAATCCAGCACTGCCCCCCCGCTCTGCTACCCCCTATCCCAGCCCCTGCCAATCCAGCACTGCCCCCCCGCTCTGCTACCCCCTATCCCAGCCCCTGCCAATCCAGCACTGCCCCCCCGCTCTGCTACCCCCTATCCCAGCCCCTGCCAATCCAGCACTGCCCCCCCGCTCTGCTACCCCCTATCCCAGCCCCCATCCCAACCCGCCAGTTGCAATGGGCTGAGGTACCACAGCGGGGTGACGTGCCAGGAGCCATGCAGCCTCAGGCCCCGGCACAGAGTGAGAATGTGGGAGCAAAGCCCTCACCCGGGAATCAGGAGCCCAGGGTTTGGTTCCAGCTCCCCCCGAGTGTCTCTGACTCCGGGCCTGAGGCCAAACTGCAAATCCAGCCCTGGAGGTGGAGACATGGACTCATGAGGGGGGGTTTCACCTACCGGGACCTGCAGCGGTGCAGACTGGACGGCCGCCGTGGTGGCCAGCGACGTGTGGGTGGAGGTCTTTGCCCCGGAGACAGCCGTCAGGAACAGGGACTCGGCCTTGATGAAGTGGGGCTGCAGCAGGACCTGTGGGGCGGGCAGGGGGTTAGCTCTGGAGCCTCGCACCCCAGCTGGGGGAGCAGCGCCTGGATTTCCCGCTACCTGACCATGCTCCTGGCTCCAGCTTACCGGGACTTGCTGGATCTGGGAGGAGACGGTGTGGGTGGTGCCCATGGTGGCTGTAGCCAGCAGCTGTTGGGCTGAGATGTTCTGGACTTGACCCTGCAGGGTGACGGGCTGGATCTGCGGAGGGGAGTGAGGGAGGCTGGGCGGGGATGGGGCAGCCCCTCCGGGCTGTATTGCTGAGGGCAGGAAGGAGAGCAAATTAGATACAGTATGGAGCCTGCTCCCCACACTCCAGGGCCCAGCCCACCTGTGGTCCTGCAGCAGCCACAGAATCACTCTGCCCCATCACCAGCCAGTCTGAAAACAGACCACGCCTCCCTCCCCTTTGGCCCTTTCCCCACTGCACAGACCCCCACCCCTGCAGGGATACCCCCTTCAGGGCCTTTTTACTGGATCTGCACTCTTCTGCTGGCTGACCCTGCAGCAGCACGGTTGCCAATATTATAGGCCCTACGTAAACACTGGTCCCCACTTCTTTTTTCTCTTCCAAACACAACCAAGACCCCCTGCTTAGCGAGTAAGTAGCAATTAGGCATTTCAATGCATGTTTTCAAAGCTCCGAAAAGACACTCCCCACCCAGGGCAGGAAAAAAAATTGGAAGCCAAAATATTTAAGTCTAAATTCCTTTCAATGGACCCCCTGCAGCAGTAGCTGTCAGCTTGCACCGGGGGACAACGCCTTTTCTACAGACACTGATCCCACACCAGCCCTGCCCCTTCAGGGCCAGTTCTGAGTCCCACTGGGCTGCCACCAGAGAAATCCACAACTCTGGTGGGAGCTCAGGGGGCCCGGCACCGTCTCCAGGGGCGCTCCGCCCATCCCGCGCCTTACCAGTGAAGCCGTGCTGACTCTGGTAGCCTGCCAAGGACTGTGGGGTGAACTGGACGTGGGACGCCGGGGCG